ATAGATAAGTTGATGTTTAGGTTGATGCATACTCGATATAAACATCTTCAAAATAGCGCATTCCATTTCGGGGCTTCACATACCTTGACAAGCTATCATTGAAGGCAGTGGTCACCAAAATTTAAGCTTTGGCATTTTTGCAAATTACGAGCCTTTCCAATTTCTTGAAACTGTAAGCACTTTGGATCTGCTTAAAAATTCCAACCCCGCTTTTCAAATGCTCCGTTTAGGCAACAAGGACGACCTGTACCCTTCTACATTAGCTTTCCCCGTAGGTCAAACACGTTAGAAGGAGGACGCTTGGTAAGACGGTGAGACGCGAAAGTGAAACCTGCAGTCGTTCAGACGCGTGTAGAATCGCCCTCCGCGCATCACTTTGAGCGCAGTCTCCTCGACTTAGAAAAGGGCTTATCGGATGGGTCGGGCAACGCAATAAGGAGTCCTCTCACTGAATCTTAAAAAACAGCGCATTTCAAAGTCGCCCATCCACTGCCTTTAAGCTTTGCTTTAGTGGACGACTTTTTTTGGTTGGAGGTCTACAGGACTAAGAAAGAATTTTCTTGAACAGTTTTATATCTATTTGCGAATTTTTTTTGTGTCAAGTTCTGCTGCATGATTTGTTTGTAACTTAATACTGCGCCACTGTGAATTAATTTTACTTGTAAAGTTAAATGACAGTTTGTGTGTAAATGCATATGCGTCTTTGTACACGTTTTGCGTGAAAAATCAGTCGAACGATATTGAAATTTTGCAACACTTCGTAGTGGGCGGGTGTCGTAGCTACTTTTCGTTACTTCCATCCATATCGATTTTATCAGTTCTTTTTCCACATATACACTACTCAAACAATCGCAGGGGATAGGCAGGTAACGAAAAATAGGTAGCTGATTGCACGCGACCCGCTCGCTGTTTTTTAAAAAAGCGGATACCCTGAAATCTCACAGATAATTCCTCCCATTAGATAAGTCCGTCTACAGATAAGTCTGCCGTCGGATAAGTCCGCTCGCTTTTTTGACTCGAATAAGGCCCGTCGGATAAGTCCGCCTTCAGATAGGTCCTCTTTTTCCATTATAACTACCCTGAAATCTGTCAAATAAGTCCGGACTTATCTGTAGGCGGACTTATCTGATGGAAGGACTTATCTGCAAGATCCTAGGCGGTGCGGGAGTGCATTTTCATCGATTTTTTTTTGTCAAAAAAGCGGACTTATCAGTGAGATTTAGGGTACGAATTGTTTGCAATGGCACTTGTAGATTTCTTGCTTCGTTGAAGAAAACCACAATATATCAGTGAAAAATCGGAGCGAAGCCTCGCTGACAATTTTCCAGAAAGTTGCAGTCGGGTGTGCATAATCAATAACGCGGATTTCCCTGTGCATTCTACCCTCGGCGATTATCTGAGTACGGAGCTGAGGACTTGGCTCGGGGGAGAGTTGCGATAGGGGGAGCAATGGATCTTACCCCCCCCCCTTCACGTTTGAGCAAAAACTTGGATGACCCCCTTCGCCTAAGGCTGATTTGGGAAGGTAATCTGAGATTGAATCATGATCACAAAGCTACTGGAGATTTACCTTAGTCGTGAGATACAACAACCACATATTCCATGAGAAGAAGAATTTCTATCAGTTACAATGAGAATTACTAAAGTAGTTGCTTCGCATTATCAATAGTGTCTACAATGGATACTGTAGCATGAAAAATTAACTAAATTCGAGAAAAAGTAACTTGGGAATTTAAAAACCCCAAAAACGAGTATAAAACTCAAAAAACACTTGAATTTTTTTTTCAAGACCTAAATAGTTGATGCTTGTTCGCTGCCTCTTGCTTCCACGTTTTTTGGAAAAATTTTTTGAGCATATTTATTTTTAAGCCTCAAGGTTTTCTAAGGCTTGTTACAGTTCTAAGATAGATGAACAAATAGACGCCTTTGCTTGTAAGAGAAGCAAGAAAAAACCAACTAGTGAGTAAGTCTATATCTATGGGTAAGTCTACCATGTTGTCTATGCTCGTAAAAACCAAAAAAGTCTTGCTAAAGACTGCAAAAACAGCTCAGTGTGATAAGCAGTGGCTGCCGTGAATAATAAATGATTACGATAGTAAGATTACTTTTTTTGTGAAAGGGAAGGATTCAAATGCATTTTTTGTCAGCTAAAGCGAATCAGTAGATATAACGGTCAGATAAATCCCTCATATCTTACTGCCAAGCCGACGGCTTTTTTCTACCTCTTCTTAACCTCAGCTTCGAATGGCTATATAGCTTGTTGACGCAAAGAACTTCCCGGCTCCAAAGAAAATGTTTGCTTCGGTGACCCATAAAAGCGCAAGTTTCAAAACCCAGCAATCTATATACCATTGGAAAGTTCAGGAAAAGGGGACATAAGCCGACATAAGTCGTCGACTTCTTTCTAGCCCCCCTCTATCGAGACATACACTACATTTTATCTGAAATCATGTCCATTTTCAACAGCAGATTTCTGCCAAGCGGAGACCTAATCACTGATGCTTATCTATCTATGTTACAGAGCAAGTCTTCATTAACAAACGTAGATCGTCGACTTTATCGTAGCGTTCACTTGGAGAGCAGAAAGTGAGGACACAAAATCAGATCAGTTGATATATGAAGTACATAAAATCCCTCATATCTCACAGCACAGAAGACGTAGAAAAAAGTCGACGGGCTACGTCGATTCTACATGACCTCAGCTTTCGAATGGTATGTAAATTGTTGGGGCATTTTGCTTTCAGCGCTCACATACCCCTTCCAGGGCTTGACACAGGTGGCTTGCAAAGCAAGCTGGATATCGTTTTGAGGGAAAAAGCAAAAGGGATATCGTTTTTGCGGAAGAGCATAACACTGTCTTTCGATCTGCTGCCGGCACGCTGCCGGCATGCCGCCAGCAAATAAACAAAAGGTTTGTTTACAGCGAAGTGAGCATGAAATGGCACCAAAATAGGTGTGTAGATGGGCAATGGGGAGTTGGGACTATGTATGAAAAATTATGAAAAAATTATGTGAACTAAGGGCATGGCAAACTTCTTTCGGGGTTAGGTGGCTTTCAAGCCACCTGGATAGCCACCTGAGGTGGCTTAGCGCAAACAAAGTCATATAATTTCTATTCTTCACATAATTTTTTCAAATTTTTTACATAAAATTAATCTACATCTGATACTTTACAAAACAGCTCTTGTATTCCACAAACCCTCTCCTTCCCGCCTATTTATAGCCCTCCAAACTATCTGAATGGCAGCGGCAAAGCTGCTCCAAGCTCCCAGTGGCGCGCGGCGGACACAGCATGCCGCCAACCCGGAGAATACAAACAATTACTAGTTCTTATTGCCTCTTTATCGTCTGTCGTGTATTCTGTTTCATTCTTTTTGTTTCCATGTTTGATTTGTTTGTTAGCGTGTCAAGGGGGATGTCGTACTTTTGTGGCGAAGTCAAAGGGGACTTCGTTTTTTGCATTTTCAACTAGCCACCTCGTGCCGAGCCCTGACCCCTTCACCTTACAAGGATGGGAGTAGCAGAGACCTCTTCACCTGGAGAGGGCCCGACTCCCCCTATTGCACCTATGCTCAGGGGTAGGCGAATATGTTGGCTGTTGAAGCCAGATATCCCATATAATTATCCGAATAGAGTACCTTGCAGATCTTCTTTGCCTTAGGACCCTTCTATAAAAACGTACTTTAAGATTAATTAAAATTGTTAGGTTGGCTAGCAGATAATTTTGTTTTGACATGCAACTTCGAAGCTCCACAAAAAACTCGGAGTACTTGCTCTGCAGCTGGGATTTTTTGTGGCGGGTAAAGCTTTTAATATCAAATACTCGTTATATAGACTTCTTAAAGGCACCGTCCACCCTAATTGAGGGTGTTGAGCTTTTGGCAAGATAGAATGGTAGGGTCCCCTATCATTCCAATGCCCAAGTCGCGGCGCAAAATGCCGAAAGCGAGAAAGTCGCTTCGGAATAGCGAAGATGCACGAGGACCCCCATCAATGCCCGCCCTCCCCCCTCCATGCCCGCCCATTTGTGCGCGCCCATCCAATCACCGTTCCGGAAAGCCGGCCTGAGGGTTCTCTCTCAGGAACGGGGATTGTTGGGGTTTTGCACATTCTGACTTCATATTCGGAATCAGAGACATGAGAAGGCCCTGAAGCGACAAAAACTTAGAAGTCAAAAATCTGGGTGGACGGTGCCTTTAAAGGTAGCTTAAGACAGTTATGACCTTATACGGCTAGCCTTTCAAAAAATCTCTTTTTTTAAATTTTCACGTTTTGTACTCATCTTGTAGTAAGTGCACAAACGAGTGATTCGGAAGCTGAACGCATACGACTTTGGCTACATGGCAAACCGCAATGGAGGCTGACTGTTGTTTGTGTATTTCCGCAACCAAAAGAGAATTCCAGGTTTCTGCGCGTAAAACTCTGTTTTGGGAAAGTTTAATTCGCTTAAATTTGGCTATCTATGGCCATGCAAATCCCTGAATATATCGAAATCGTAAGTGTGCCTATCATTCATGCACTTTACACACAACTCCAGTTTGTTTATTAGAGCATGAATTTCCAAAAAAAAGTTGACGAAAAAATGACTTTTTTGCTTTGCTACACCATTTCGCTGTCAAAAAAAATTCTTTAAGCAATCAAAATTAATCTTCCAATTCTCCCTAATTTATTCTTTCGCATGATGCCATACACTTATACACAAATCTATCCGTGACATTTCTACAAACCGTTAAAAACGACCGAAATTATTTTCTAGCCAACCTAATATTTTGGATTACTCATCAGTTCTTACCAGATAATCCTAAAAACAGCAGCATTCTGGCGTATGATTTCATCAAGCAGTGATACATGCTCAATCTACACAGCCACCAATGCAATTTTTATTTTAAGCATTCAGATGTCTTAATGGTTCCAATGCTTTCAATCACAACATCATGTCTACTAATCTTTTGGCAAAATGGAATTTGACATTTCGTCAATATTACATGGGAAACTGAGGTGAGGTATGCCGTACGGATCATGGTGACTGAATCAGCAGTTTCCAGGAACAAAATAAGATTTATAATTTCGAATAGATATCTTTACAAAAACGAGGACATAACTGAGGCATCAGATTTGCATTTCTCATAGACCATATCGAAATTTATTTTATTCTTTGCCCAGTTCAATCAAGTAAGCTAGGAGAGTTTTCACTCCCTGCAGGTAATTCACTTTGTTGATCTTCTCGTTTTGTGAGTGAGCCATATCATCAGCAGCACCTAACGGTAGCAGGAGCACGCTCTTGCCCGTCAAGTCCTGAGTAGAAAAAATGTGTATTATAGCTAAAAGGACAAAGCTTACCTGGAATGTGAGTGTGATTGGAATGCTGCAACCTTCACGTATATAATCAGGATCCACACCGTGCACTGTAAACGGTTTATGGTGTTTGTTCAGTTCAACTTATTATTACAACGGGTCTCTTACCTAACTTCATAGCTCGAGCTCCTGCTCTGAAATTGCTGTCATTGGTGTCAGCAACCCACGGCAAAGCATCATGACCTACGCGGGGACTAAAAAACTATCTATTAGTAAGTATTAGTACTATTAGTCTAACTATCTATTATCTATTAGTTCATAACACACATGAATGGATATTTCTCACTTGAAGGTATTCGGCGATCCGCGTTTTCTCCATAAATCGTTGAGATAGTCGACAACCATTTTATTTACCTGCAACAGGGTTAGTAATAACAAAAGGCATAGCCCCATAGAACCGTAAGTCTCTAACCTTCTCCGGTTTCATATCCGGTACGAGTCTGATTGAAAACTTTCCGATAACTTTGGAAGGTATAACAGTTTTCTCTCCAGCGCCCGAGAATGCTCCCTCAATTCCATGGAGCGACAGACTGAACATACGTGCAAATTCCAAACATTTCAATTCAATATAAAATCAGTTCTACCAAGGTTCCCTCCATCGTCTGATGAGTAGAGTTTTCTTGTCTTCTGTGGGTAATTTCTTTGCGCCAACACTTTCACGGAATTCGCTGACGTCAAAATCAATTTTTTCGTAAAGTTCATCCTCTTCTTTAGTCATCGGTGCAACTTCATCATAAATGCCTGGAAAAATTCAATCTATGAAAGTAGGCTTTAGAGCCAGGCAGACTGAAGGCAAAGAGAGGAAGTTTTGTGAAAAAAAACGAACACAATATTTTAGCTTTAAAAGGTGCTTGTGAAAAATTCTCCCCTTTTTCAAACAAAGGCCTTATGCAGCCCAAGTAAGGAAATCTGAAAAACAAAATATTTGCCCGCAAGTAACCAAAAGGTTGAGGGTAAATATCTCGCTACTACTGCCCTTCATTTTGTTTCCAAAACACGAATTCCATCTGAATTTCTAGGGCTTGCTTAGCCTTATAAATTCAAACTTTTCCTTTTTGGTCCTTTTTCTTAGCTCAATTTGCTTTGCGATTCTTATCTACATACTCATAGAGCACTTTTTATCTATGGACTTTTACATCGACTGAAGAAGAGTCTTAAGAGACATAAGAGTCATAAGTAACATAAGGATAGATGAACTTGAACTAATTATCACACAGGAAAAATATACTGGGAAAAAATTCAAATCAAGTTTACCTGGGATAAGAATTCGATTATCAACTGAAGTTAATTGAGACATGATCCATACGAGATCTTGGAGTGGTTCATGTCTAAAATGAAATGGAAATGCTTGGTATCGATCCAGACGCATAGAAAACGTGAAAAATTATAAAAGTGGTGTGAATAATTCAGATGTGTGCAATTCTGGAATAGTTGAAAAAAAAAAGGCTTCAATGAGAAATATAGCTTTTCAGGGCTGGTCAGGAACAAAACGAATACTTCAAGTAACTGAACACTTTAGAAGAAGTTCGAAAGTCATCTCGAACCAAAAATGTGGTTTTTTTCCAAAATTAATGGTTTCTTGATTTCTGATTTACTCCATTCAAAAGAGGAATCGTTTGGTCTTGTAGTCTTTTCCGCCGTGCTGAAGCATTGAAGGAGAGAGGACCAACGCATAACATGAAGAAACTCTCTAGATGATAAGTACGTGGTTATGTCATACTTCAACTTCTACAATAAATAATCTGAATAAAAAGCTCAAGCGTTTTACAATGAATATGTCTATAGTGTGCTTATACAAGGTGACTTTTCAACACCAAAATTTGGAAAAACCAACTCACACGACTCCTCCGTACACACCGGAATGGAGATCTTGCTGGATACCAGTAACCTCAAGTTTGAAAGATGTTATACCCCTAAATAATAGCTTAATGCCTATTTATTGGACATTCATCCTCTAAGCTTGCCTCAGGCCATGAGTAAGGCACGGCTTTGTTGTTCCCAACCAGTAACTATCCGAAATACAAACGAAATCAACATCAGCCAGAAAAGTGTCCTTGCTCCGTTCTAAGAGCTCTGGTAAGCCTACTGAGCCGCTCTCCTCCATGCCTTCAAAGCAGAACTGAAACATTTGGTTATTAACGGCTTTTACTACCATTTTCTATGGAAAAACCAAACCTTGACATTAACAGAGATGTCCATCTTATGCTTTTGTAGCATTTCTATGGCATGTGCCCAACACAGTACTGGGCCCTTGTCATCAGAAGCTCCACGACCGAAAAGCTTCTCATCTGAAAGGTTCTTTTCGGATCCAATTTAACTGTGGTTCAAAAAATGTTTGGTTAGAAGTATGTCTTTCAATAGGTCAATAACATAAATTGATTCGGCATACAAAAAATTTTGCTGATTTATTTTTTCAAGCCGTATGCAGCTTGCGGAAGCTGCAAATATTCAAAAAATTTGGGAGAGGTGCAGTGATGCGTATTAAATTTTTTCAATCGGCAAATGCTCACTCTTTTCCGTTAGCACGAACGGTTCAGTATTCCAACCGTCACTTTTCTGCGCTGGTTGAACGTCTGAAATTTTGCATATCGTTAAAATTTCTCAAAAGGAAGCTCCTACAATCAAATAAGCAAACCTAAATGTCCGTATACTAGAACAGTCTTCTTTGACTTGTCATCACCGAGTTGCCCAAAAAGTACTGGAGGTAAGGGTAGCTGAAAATATGAAAGCAGATAGCTTTCCACCTAATGCATAAGGACTAGCCGTATGGCATTTTAGGTGGGTGGGCGGAAGGGGGGGGGGGGGAGGCGGATGAAGAGTTGTTCGCTCTTTTATGACCGACTGTATGAAACGGCATGGAAAAGAGATATTGAAAACCAAAGTTTCAAAGCATCTTCCTGATTCAAGCGGGGGGGGAGGGGAATGAAATTTTCTCTGAATAAAGAAGGAGAGTGAAAACACATTAAGTCATTGAAGCAAGATCAAAAGTACCACTATTTTCACTAAATCTTAGGTTGAGGTTTAATTACCCAAGTTTGAGGAGTACGTTGTTGGTAATCCTAATGTGGTTGTGAACACTACGGACAAAAAACAAAGCATTTATATCTATAACCAGGACTCCGTGATTGTAGTGAAAGATAAGGTGAATTCCATCACACTGGATAGTTGCAAGAAAACCTCCGTTGTGATTGATGCGATTGTAGCTCAATGTGAATCTATCAATTGTCAGAGCATTCAGCTCCAGAGCCTTGGGGAGGTGCCTACTCTTTCCATACAGAAGATCGATGGATGTCAAGTATATCTTAGCGAAGCCTCGAAGTGTGCAGAGATAGTCACTAGCAAGTCCAGTGAAATGAACGTGCTGATCCCTACTTCAGATGGTGATTTCACGGAGTTTCCTGTGCCAGAGCAATTCAAAACTACATTTGATGGGAAGAAACTGGTAACATGCGTGTCTGACATTGTCTGATGATAAACTCTTCATCCCGTAATATGTGTGACCTTCCTTACTCGTAATCTTTATTTAATACTACCCTTCGTTTTTTGTCATATTACTGCTTGTGCCTTTAGCAGCTCAAACTCAATTTACAATTCTTTCGGTTTCAATCCCAAAAGAGATCTGAAGTCTGAGGTGTGCGCCTAGCTTTGACATTAACTCCTGGTTGGACATCTGGCAATAGCATAAGCATAAGCGAGGTACTTTATCTACTTGCAGTTGTTGTCATGAATCGCGTTCCGTACTATCCATGCTTGTATTTTGTGTTAGATACAGATTCGCGCTCAATTTGCAACTGTTGTTATTATCTATCGCTATTGCTTGTAAATCTCAGCATTGTCGACAGGTAGCTAATCCTGTCTTTAGTAAATGGTTTTCAATCGAAAAAAAAAATCTGCCAAGCTTCTTTAACAATTCAAAGCCCACATTATCTTTCTTCCCTTTCCGCCCACATTTTATATCAGGAATTTTGCGCCAATGTTTCACTTCATATCGTAATAGAATATTTATACATTTTGTCCCAATTCAGCAAATAACGCCACCGAAGCGTGAGCATATAAAAATTTGCACCATTGCTCCAAATATTCGAAAGTAATTTATATTGAGCTACTGTATGCCTCAGGCTTATACTGCACTTTCCAAGAATGTTAATTAACATTCTCATTCTCTTTATAATTCTGCTCATCTTCTGGATATTTAAAGAGACTACCTCTTTTCCGTCCACAGTTTGATGTCCTAAATCTTCGAGAGTGCATTTTGCTCCCAGTTTCTCCAAGCGTTCCCTGTGCAAAGATTATTTTTGATGCATTTTGTGCTGCAAATTCATAAACTCACTTCATCCATTTTATCATTTGAATGGTCTGAGGCCTCCGAGTTGGGTCGCCCGAAACACTGTCGATGGCCACGGCTTCAGCCAAAATTGCCTTGTAACGCTCATAGGAGGCATCGATGTCTCTAAATTTGATGAGGAGAATTGCCTTATGAATAAGGTTGGAAGAGTGGACGTTTTTGAATCTTTCACAACGTATTAAGAACTATTTTATTGCTACCTATCACCACCCGTTGGTATATATCAATATGCGCAAAATATGAATTTTTCTGATTCGGTGTTCAACTGAGTTTATTCAAAAATTTGACTCTCTAGGAAGGTTTTTCTGAAGTAACATTTCCCAAAAAGGCCATATCTCCTTAATTAAAAATGAATTTAAAACGTTTGTCTCTGATTCTGTTACAAGCAGATCAAATATGGAACAACTAAAGAAAGATATTAAATGGAACAGACAGCATTACTACTCTAATGCGACCCCCCCCCCCGCCTCCTCCTCCCGCATTTTATGTGTTCGCGTCTGCTATGCGAATGCTGAAGAAGCCGTAAACACTACTTGCACTTGCGATGTACTGGAGGGTCCCACCATGATCGAATGCCAAATTCTGTCTCCAGTAACTCCCTAACGTGATGAGCGATAATGAGATTTATTTTTGTTTGACGAGATGGTAGCAATCGACACTTAGATCCCTTGTATGAGTTCCTAGGATCCCAAGGGTTCAATCAATATACAGAGGAATCTATTTGCCATATAAACTGCTGTTGGGGAAAAGGTTAAAGTTGTTTTCTTTACGTGCATCTGCTCTGTCATTGCTCACATGGAGAATTTTCCAAAACTTTATTCACGGCGATCTCAAATTACAATTTGTTGTGGCGGTGAAATGTTGTCAATGATTCGAAGCTTGTCGCTGAGATAATCACGACTCAGAATTCCACTTATTTCTATTTATTCATTTCCACGTTTCATCGCTATCGGGACAACAAACGAAGTGTTTAGAATATTGAGCTGGTAGAAACATTGGAATCAAGATAGGTGGATGAATACTACTATGAACTCCTTAGCTATCACAAGAGATTGTCAGAAGAACACGAAAAACAAAAATTCCCCAAACATCCACAGCAAAAAGAAAAGAAAAAACTCACTCAAAAACTTGCTTGAGAGACATTGTGGCGAGAGAATAAGCGTTTCTTATCAGCAGTAGAGATTGTATGCGAGTAAAGTTGGGTGATAAGACGATTGCGCGATAATTTGGCCAAGTTCTGGCGAAGTTTTAAAGATTTGTTCAGAAAAACTGAGAAATGAGAGGTAAAATATTTACGATGTGGGCATTTTTAACAGTTTGGTCAGAACTTTTCCAAAATTCAGATTAAATCGATACGATGCGAAGTGATGGGGGTCAAGTGCAAACGTTCGTGGCAGCGGGATAGGATGATCTTTGAACGATCGGGACCAGGGCTCGGCACGAGGTGGCTAGTTGAAAATGCAAAAAACGAAGTCCCCCTTGACTTTTGCGAATTTTTACGCAGTCCCCTTTGACCCTAGACCAGGGCTCGGCACGAGGTGGCGTCCCGAAATTGCAAAAAATGAAGTCCCCTTTGACTTCAATAAAATTACGATATCCGCCACGAGATATTCGAAGAGAAAATACATGAGAATGAACGGAACAAAGCAACAGCAGAAAAAAACGAAAAAGAATCATCGAACACTCGCGATGATATTCATATTCTCCGGAAGCGGCATGATGTATCCATCGTGCAGCAATACGCGCCTAGAGCAGCCTTTCCGCGGCCATTCAAAATTTTCAAGGGGCTATAACTAAGCGGGGAGAAGGGGGTTTGAGGCGGTTTAGGAACCAGTTTGTAGGGTTTGGGATGTAGATGAAAAGTATGTAAAGAAATTAGAAAAATTATGTGAGGGAGGAAAAATTTATGACTTTTTCTTTCCTAAGCCACCTCAGGTGGCTATCCAGGTGGCTTGAAAGCCACCTAACTCCGAAAAAAGTTGAGCATGCCTTTAGTTCACATAATTTTTTCATAATTTTTCATACTTAGTTTTAACTCCCCATTGTCCATTTACACACCTATTTTGGTGTCATTTCATCCTCACTTCGCTGTAAACAAACCTTTTGTTTATTTGCTGGCGGCATGCCGGCAGCGTGCCGGCCGCAGGTCGAAAGACAACGTTATGCTCTTCCGCAAAAACGATATCCCCTTTGCTTTTTCTCCAAAAACGATATCCAGCTTGCTTGCTAAGCCACCTGTGCCGTGCCCTGATCGGGACATTTGTGGGAGAAGTTGGTAAAGAAGTTAGGAAAAATTTTTTAGTATCAGCTGGAAGTCCCATAAATTTGCACCTGTAACCTATATATATAGATCCTCTTTTAATTTCTCTTCAAACTTCAATACTAATATTTTTGCCATCGAATCTATTAGGTTGATCCATAAGTCTTGCACCAAACTATTTAAATCGCAAATTATTCCAATTCGATTAATTTCGTTCAATCAACGCTGCTTGAAGTGAGTAATTTTGAGGTTTCGAAATGTGCTTACAAAAATCCCTAATGACATATCATGGAGATACTAGCCGATAAAGTGGAAGCCAAATAGTGATCTCAAAATTTGGTTTCAAAAATGTTAAAAGGCTTGCCAAAATCTCAATTCGTTTTCATTGGTGGTTTTCCAACTTAATCTTTCTAACATATAGAGAAGCGTGCTGATAGGATGCATCTACAAATAGTCTGATTTTCAAGTTTTTCAGCCGAAGTTCGATTTTGTTTGTTATAGAAACAAACATTGGTTACCAGTTATGATAGATATACAATGTAAATCAAAAAGTTTTTCTTAACATTTTTGTATTATACTTTTTGTTGCGAGACTTACCTTATACATTATCGTTATTATTGATGAGGTTCGATGTATTCATAGGTCGTTAACGAATTGCTTGCTAGTCTTGCAAAGCTTGGAAGACTTGTTTTTGAGAGCCTCGGGCAGAGTTCACGCGATTTCATCGTCGCGAATGATCGCAACAAGACAACTGTAACAAAATCATTGCATGCCGATTTTCTTGCATTTCGGTTGTGATAGTTTCCAACACTACTAGTCGGACTAACTATCACAACGGGAATATAGGAAGATCATCGGCATACAATGAACTCGTAATAGTTGTCCTGTAGCAATAAATCGCGACTATCATCGCGTGAACTCTGTCCGGGGCCTTAAGATTTCAAAGCAGCGGTAATTGTATTTATAGCAATTGCTGAATTTTTACTCATTCGCTGTTTGAATAAACTCATACGAGAGGATCATTGATTTGGGTTTGACGCAAAAGTTTTTCCCATAATCGCGGCTTTCCAAGCTGGTGATGGGAAAGATCGCAAGCATGGGATTCCGAGGTTTGGTGAAAAAAAAACGCTGGAAAGTCTGGCAAAATTTGACCTAGTGTTCAGTTTGCTTTTATGTTGTACACTGTTGGCTAAGATAATGGTGTCAAGCTTTCTTCGAACATGGTTCAGTTTCCTTACAAGAATTTTTGACTTTATTGTAGACAAAATTTGATGTGCATAACAAAACATAGCATGGATCCAAATAATGAAAGTTTTTGCTCCCCTTAGAACTTTCAACAACAGAAAGAAAGTTTAGAAAGTTCAGGAGTTTTTTCCTTCCGTTGCAGAACTTACTACGTATCATAGTGCTCGGGTAAAGGGCCGGGCATACTTCACGCGATTTTAGTCGCGGCGCGACTTGGCAATATTTTAACTATCCATAACTCATTGTAAGACATTTTAAATGTATGTACAGAGGATAGGGCATTTTAACACTCCACGTAAGTGTTATACACACTGTGCATGTGCAGAATGCTAGTGTTGGATCTGAAGACTTTTGGCCAATTGCCAAATCGCGTCGCGACTGAAATCGCGTGAAGTATGCCCGCCCCTTAAATGAATAACTTTGAAGATCAGGCGATCCTCCTTCTTCGCTCCTCACTCGTGCCCAATTTTTACCATACTACATCGAGCTAAAAATCTGCTTCCACCACCTGTTCGTGCGAACTCAGATGTGGTTCCCAGTGAGCTACACATTATCTCATCCCTATATCCGTTCTTTCATTGATGCATGGAAACATTGTGGTCGTCCTTTTTCCGGCAGTAATTGTTGCACTTTCAGCTCAATTTTCGGCTCCAAGAATATAAAGTAATCTAGCTGCAATTATTGGACCAGCTTTGAGCCGAACATGACTCTGTGCTGACAAATTTGCGCTTTGCATGCACGACTGCTTAGCAAATTAACGGCCTCCAACGTCTCATAGCTTCGCCCACATAGGCGTTGAGCAGATATGGAAATACAGACTCGAAGTCAGCATTCTATGCTGCATCTTATGGTATGCAGCTTGCTTGGATTCGTCACTTTTAATTCTGACCATTCCCTTGTCAGGTGTTAGATTCCCACTGCATACATTCTGTATTCGGTGCGAAGAAATGCACGTTTCGTCTCTCGCAAAGTTGCAGCAAAAATAAAGCATCAGTATTAGTTCGAGCAGAGAAATATAAGTTTCTATGACCTCCTACAATATATAAATCTTTATTAAAATCAAACAATCTCCTCGCACAACACCTTTACTGCATCTTCTAATAAACCTTTGTTGAAGTCCTGAAAAAAATTTTTTTAGTGATTTGAATGAATCATACAGCAGGTTTGGATCGCGTATTTCATGTTGTTAGCCATTCGAAAATATTGTTTCGTCTACTAAAATTCCCCTTGCTTTTCCGTGACTTACAAGTGAGACATAGATCAGTAAACTTGAACTGCCTACCTTGATTATGTTCTTTTTCTGTCCAGCAATTCTTTCTATATTCAGCATGTTTCCTGGTTGGTAGCTATTCGATGTTGGGTCAATATCGGGTCCAACTGGCGAGTACAGAATAGTAATGCCCTCTTTGCGAGCCTTAAAAGAGTAGTTAAGGATACTTTTGTGGATTCTCTAAATATAACTTGAACCCAGAGGTGCGATGGGGGGAGCCGGGCCCACCAAAAGTGAAGGTGGTCCCAGCTACCACTGGCCGGCCAAAAGTGAAGGTGGTAGTGCCGGACACTCACCTCCCAAAAACGTCGACCGGGGGGGGGGGGGAGCATTAACGTCTATCCTTCCAGGTCATTGCCGTTAGTGCGCGGAAAATAAGCAAAACAAATGCAAAAGGGATCATTGAAAGCAATTTTATGTATACAGCGTCATAAATATCCAGAGTAAACGTGCTTATCAAATAGTGTATTTGGAAGTAAAACTCAGCGAAACTGTACGTATTTTATTAATTACCAGTGCGTCACCTCTGCTCCGCAGAGGCTCGCACTGGCCCTACTTTCTGTATGCCTTACTCATTCCCGCATAATAGTGACATTGAAACTCACCGCGTTATGCAGCTTATCACGAATGATTTGTAAACAGCCACTCATTCCTAGAGCTTTTTTGCATGAGATCGGTATTTCCACGTGGACGAGACTTTTCTTGAAACAATAAATGCAAATTCGTGTAGGTTTGTGGACTTTTTATGGCTTGGTAGTCGCCATAACGACATTAATTATCGTGGGCTACATCTCTATGCAAAAATCGTCTCGAATGATCAGTTAAAATCTTGGGAAACTGAGCATTTACGCAACTAATTCTTTTTAGCGCCATTTTCGTAAAGTAACCAACTTCAGTCGAATTTTTTTTAGCTAAAGTCTATGGCTTGTATAGTAGCCTGTCAAACATATCCGCGACTTTGCAAAAAGTTTATATACGGACCCAATTTTGCTGGCCAGAAGTTAAATGGACCCGTTTCACGCGCAATTTCTAAGGGATCCACTTATCGGATCCGCTTGTGCTTTTGCACAATGGACTTTCCTGCTGCTAGGATGTAATATGCAAAATTTGGGCTAAATAGGTTGGCTGGAACTCTTCCTACGAATTTCGTGACAGACAGAGATTCACACACACAGACACACACACAAACGTAAACAACCCTTAGTCCGTTATTATATACCAGTGCGTCACCTCTGCTTCGCAGAGGCTCGCACTGGCCCTATTTTCTGTATGCGTTACTCATTCCCGCATAATAATGACATTGAAACTCACCGCGCTATGTAGGCTTAGGCTATCACGAATAATTCGTAAACAACTACTCATTCTTAGAGGTTTTCCATGTGAGGTCGGTATTTTCGCATGGATAAAATCTTTCTTAGAAGAACAGATGCAAATTCGAATAGGCTTTTGGAATTTTTATGGATTGGTAGTCGCCGTAAGGACTATAAACATAGTGGGCTACACCTCTGTGCGAAAATCTTCTCAAATAATCAGGTAAAATCTTGAAAAATTGACCATCGAGCAATCAATACTTTTCGGCGTCGTTTTTGTAAAGTAGTAGACTTTTGATCCCTTTTTCGGAGCAAAGCCCATGGCTTGCACACTGAGATGCTAAGCATATCCACGACTCTGCAAAAAATGGTGAAAGTATGAAAGTGGATGATGATGCTTCGCAGAGGATCGCACTGGTCCTACTCTATAGTTTTTGAGCAATATCTCCTCTTAAGAAAGGCAAAGTGTGGTACGTCCACAGCAGGTACTGGCTCTATGCACCCCATGAATATGGTGCCGTGCGGGTTTGCGCGTCCATGCTTGTCCTCAGAGCTAAACAGCGCCCTGCCTCATCTCTCAGATTGCTTTGAATCTCCCCGAAAAATTCTGATCGGGAAGAATATGATGTAAACAACCATTCATTCTGCGAGGTTTTCATGTGAAACCGGTAAAATTAGCGTGGCGAAACTTTTTGGTGAACGGTTAGTGTAATTTTGAATCCGTTCTATCAATGCGATGTTGGCTAATTAGAACAGCAACAGATGCACGCTACATTCCCAGCCTAGAATATTTCCAGCTATACAGTGAGTGTTTTGAAAATGAACAGTTGAGTCATCTCTTTTTGACGCCACTTTTGCACGAAATTAACTTTTTGCTATGTATCTGCGATGAATTCCAGGGCTTAGAAGATGTCCAAGTTGAAAGTCTTACAGTTACTGCAGACTCCTTGCATTAGGGTCTCATTTTTGCCTTAGCAAATGCCTGGTGGATCCGTTTGACTCGCGATTTTCAACCGAAACAGATTCGCTCACTTCTTTACATAATCAACCTGGGTGCTGCTGGCATGCTATAGCCAAAAAATCAGCTCGAAATATTGGCTGCAGCTTGCGCTATGAAATAATACACTGATTCGCAGAGGCTCGCTGTGTCCTACTCTGTACGCCTTACTCATTCATGCCTTGTGATGGCATTGAAACTCACCGGACGATGCCGAATATCACGAATAAAATGTAAACAACTACTCATTCCAAAAGCTTTTCCATGTGAGAACGGTAATTTTGAGAGGATGACATTTTTCGCAGAAGAACAAATGCAAATTTGAATAGGTTCTTGAACTTTTTTCTGGCTAGGTACTTGCTATAAGGACAATAACACTCTGAGCCACATCTCTGTGCAAAAATCTCCTCAAATGCTCAAGTAAAACCTTGGCAAATCGACCATCGAGCAATAAATACTTTTCGGCGTCGTTTTTGTTAAGTAGTAGACTTTTGATCCCTTTTTTGGAGCAAAGCCCATGGCTTGCACATTGAGATGCTAAGCACATCCACGACTTTGCAAAAAGTGGTGATATGGATCCGATATGCGGGCCGAAAGCCAATTGGACCCGGCTGACGCGCAATTTCTGAGGGATCCACTTAACAAATCCGCTCGTGCTTTCGCATGGTGGACTTTTATACTGGTAGCATGCGCTATGCAAGATTTGGGCTCAGGACGTTGGCTGGAACTCGCGCTATGAATTTCGTGACAGACAGACATTCAGACACACACACACACAAAAAAACGTAAACACCCTTAGCGCGTTATTATAGTAGGATTAATTAAATTTTGTTATAATATACAGTGAAGAAATTAGGTCGATACAGGCAGTAACCGCCGAGAATCAGAATCTCGAGTGATAAAATAATGAAAAATCGTGAAAAATCATATCACTGTTACAAATCTGCTGGCTGAAGACCTCCGCAGTTGCGGCTTTATAGGTTTTGAAGGGTAAGTGTTGTTCTACCAGAGAGTGAAAGAATCAGTTTGATTTGAGGAGTGGCCGCCGAGAACGAGAATTTTGAAAAACCTCAAAAATCTTCTCAATTTTAGGTTGCTCAATGACAACTGACATTTGAACTCTTATAAATCCGGACTTTGAAGGTGTATGATGTTGCGACTTCATAGGTTTTGTAGGGTGAAGTTTTCCCTATCAGAATATATCTTAGCTGTACCGATCCATTGAAACATCGCAGAGATCCAGGCTCTTAAAAAGCAGGTAAAAACCGTTTTTCAGCTCATAACTTCTTCAGAACTGCATGAATCATGTTGCGGCTTCATAGGTTAGATTTTCCTCTTCAAGAGCTTTCAGTTGATATATAATATATGGGGGATTCAATGTTTCTTGCGGCTCTAACCCGGGGTGGAGTACTCCTCCTCACTAATTCTCCACCCCGCCCATTTCAATGTATTGGCGGGAGGCCGCCAGTGGAGAATTAGTGAAGAGAGGTACTCTACCCCCGGGCATATGCCGTCACTTACATATTATATATCATTTGAAAGCTCTTGAAGAGGAGAATCTAACTTATGAAGTCGCAACATGATTCATGCAGTTCTGAAGAAGTTATGAGCTGAAAAACGGTTTTTTACCTGCTTTTTTAAGAGCCTGGATCTCGGCGATGTTTCAATGGATCGGTACAGCTAAGACATATTCTGATAGGGCAAACCTCAGCCTACAAAATCTATGAAGTCGCAACATTACACACGTTCAAAGTCCGGATTTATAAGAGTTCAAATGTCAGTTGCCATTAAGCAACCTAAAATTGAGAAGATTTTTAAGGTTTTTCAAAATTCTCGTTCTCGGCGGCCACTCCTCAAATCAAACTGATTCTTTCACTGTCTGGTAGAACAACATTTACCCTTCAAAACCTATGAAGTCGCAACTGCGGAGGTCTTCAGCCAGCAGATTTGTAACAGTAGAATAATTTTTCACAATTTTTCATTATTTTATCATTCGAAATTCTGGTTCTCGGCGGTTACTGCCTGGATCGACTTACTACATAGATATATGCTCTTAATACTTTCTTTTACATTCCTTTTGCTTATTTTCCTTCTTTTGAGCCTTAGCGAAAAAATTTTTCGAACCCAAAAGTGAAGGTGGTCACCCTGTACTAGCTCAAAAGTGAAGGTAGGCGGAGAATCGGCTCCGATATCGCACCTCTGCTCGAACCCTTTACCTTCTCCGCTTCATCAAATTGGTTGTGATTTCTCATATGCTCCCAAATCGCTGTGCAATCGAAATGTCCTTCTCCTTCATGACACTGATCTGGATCACCATCAGAGAGGATAATCATAAATTTACGTCTTCCTTTCTCCTCCTATAACCATAGTAATTTCAGATTCATCAAGAATCCACATTCAGTATGTTGACGACGACGCGCATTTTCAGTTGTCTGTCTTCGACCAAGCTTGTCGCGGTAGTCATTCCTCAAGATGAAACCACACAAACTGCCGTCTACGCGATAACTACCCTAACTGTGACTTTGAGGAAAAATATAAGTTATTCTAGATCCAAGCTTAAGAAAACTTTTAGCCACGCCGCGTTATGGCGCAAAGCTACGCTACATTCCTCTGCGGTAACCCTGAGGGCCCTTCGTATTGCTTCGCTCCTAGCCGCAGAGGAGCTAGCGTTCTCTTTAGCGGATTAAGCTCTCCATATTTTCCAAAGATAAAGAGATTAGAATGTGGGATAGGCAACTTTGGGGATGAATCAAATTCAAAGAGGAGGAAGTGTTTGTATAGCAGAACCCAAGAGAAAGTTTGAAAGAAAGAGGAAATTAATTCTTCGAGAAAGTCATACGAAGATTTTTTCCTTTTTTCTAGCTATTTCCCGTGTTCCACTACTCTTAAACGCATTTTAATTGAGATTTAGGTTTTGATCCAGTCCCATCTCGTCTATTTTTTTCATCTTCGCTCTCTTTACTGCATTCGCACTATTTACACATCTCTTGTTTGCAATGTTGTGATTAGCCTTTAGTGGAGGGAGATGCATAACTATGAGCACCAGTAATGGTTTGAGATCCGCTTTTCCTTCCTATTACTGTTCTCCGCTGCACCTGGTCCCGTAGCCTGCACGACTCCCAGCTTCCCATTTCAAAGTTTGCAAAAAATCGAAATCGCTAAGCAGTATACTTGTATTCAAAATGCTCGGCCCCCTTCTGTTTGCTGAACGGAATCGTTGACGATCATTTCAAAAAATTGCCTGTAGCATCGTTTTTTCAAAAGCTCTGAATGTTAGCATAGGCTTCAGAGAATCTCCACATTTCATCTTGTTGCAATTCTCAAACTTTATGGAAACTATCGTCTGTGCCCCAGAGAGGTTCCCATGTGAACCAGCGTGCATACGTGGTGCGACGCTGCCTTTCGCTTTTTTTGACACGTTTCTCCTGAGATTTCAACGGAACTGCACGAGGTTAACACGTTCAAAAGAGCGAAAGGCAGCGAGATGACGTGGTACCTATGGGAATCTCGCTGGGGAACAAACGGTACACCAGTTAGTCTAATAGTTGATGTTCTATTCAACATTACCGTGCCAAAGGTCACGGGTTTGAGTCCATTGAAGCGTAATTTTTGCAGCCAAATTCTGCTTACGATACCAGTGTTAAGCTACCTCTCCAAAGAAGGGCAGATCAGCCAGTTGAGAAGCACCTGCTGCATCAACTTCAGACTTGTCTCATGAGGTATCTTGCGTAAAGGCTAGGGCGCTGCCCTCCCTGGAAGCGAAGGGCATTTGAGCGCGACGATCGCGAATAGTGTGCGGAAAGAACCGTTTCAGCATGGTGAGGCACTGCTAAAGAGACTCAAAAAAAAGAATTCAATGTCTTCCAATAACTTCCAAGTTCCACTTTCTTTAAACCTGGGCATTGTTCGTATTGACAAAGTATTCTGTGCCAAACAGGTTTGTTAGGTGATCTTTATTAATCCAATTGAGGCCTAACGTTTCGACGCCTTCGTCTTCCTCAGAGGCCTGAAAATGGCTCAAAGTGTCATCTGTAGCTCCACGCCATCAAACACCCTTCCTAATCCTGCTAGTTCTCGACTTTCGCCTGACTTTCCTATTGCAAAAACGTCAGGGCGGAAGATGAACATACCGACAGATCACCAATATGCGAGTTTCCGCACCGGAAATGATGGTCACGGCGGAAGAATGAAGTATACCATAGATGACCATCGGATGTCATCTACAGATAGCATAATGATATGAAGGGAAGGAAGTCGGAGGTCAAGGAAGTCATCTTCCGCCCTGACGTTTTTGCAATAGGGAAGTCAGGCGAGAGTCGAGAACTAGCAGGATTAGGAAGGGTGTTTGATGGCGTGGAGCTACAGATGACACTTTGAGCCATTTTCAGGCCTCTGAGGAAGACGAAGGCGTCGAAACGTTAAGCCTCAATTGGATTAATAAAGATCACCTAACAAACCTGTTTGGCACAGAATACTTTGTCAATACGAACAATGCCCAGGTTTAAAGAAAGTGGAACTTGGAAGTTATTGGAAGACATACCGCCGAATCTGTTCCGCTTGGCACGTGAGACGTTATCGCTTCGACAAAAGGCGGTAGCTGTTCGCCAATCCTTATCGTTCCTCCAACGTAGCAAGAAATCGAATATCCTGCCTGCCTTCATCACGAATAAGAGAATAGGATATACCTGTGATCTTAGCGAAGATAATCCGAAGATATTAAAGATCTACCATTCTATTTTGAACGTTATCATCAAGCAAAAACAGAGATCATTGTATACCACTTTATTGAAATGCAATGCTAAAGAACAGGCATGTAAACGTCTCTTGCCTATTGAACGTTGGAGGAGGATTGAGGATGGGTCAAAACAAATCTGTAGTTTGATTCGATCTAAGATCAAGTCCAAACTCCGAGCAAAGTACGACCGACTCCTCACTGATCTATGTAAAAATTGTTCACGTGGTAGAAATGACAGATCCGACAGCCGCTTTGAACCTCTTGCATGTCACAATGAAGGAAAGTCGAGAGTCACGGTTATTGGCAACGCTTAAATTTCTACTAATATCGAAGAGCTTCTTAGCCTTGGCCCTTCATTCTCGCCTGCGCAAAATGTTAACGCTGCGATTTGTCGCAAAGTAGTCGGAAGCCTGCATAAACTTAGAGATTCTCTAAGAATACGAGAGAGAAACAAGAGTCGCGCAACGACCGCAGTCAACAACTCTCAAAGCTTACTACCAACAATTCCATTCCCACCATCGTTTTACAGACAACCCGGACCCGTTCTTGAAGTAGACATCAAGTTCCGTCTCTTATGCTCAGGTGTTTTAGAAGTTCTAAACAGAGCAAAGCGACAGCATCAGAGCAACCTGACACGCAATCAATGGCAGGGGTTCAAAGAGATGCGTGAACTCGTTTCAAACGGTTCAGTACGATTGTCCGTAAGCGATGAAGGTGGCGAGTTTGTGGTAATGCCCCAAGAGTTAGACCGCCGCATAACAACAGCCCATCTAGCCGACTCTGCAACGTACAGAGTAGTCTCTGAGAAAGAATTCCAGTCACAATGCAAGAAACTGAATGACACTTGGACGGCAATAGGCAAATCTGCCGGACTGGAGGATAGATTTATAAGCAGGTTGAAATTGAGGAGTCCGAGTTGTCCAGTGTTTTACAGCCTTCTCAAAACGGACAAGCTTTCTTTACGGGACATGAACTCAATGTCAGAGGAAACTTACAAAATTAGACCAATAATCAGTTGTGTAGGCGGCCCTACCGACAGAATCTCGTGGTTCTTGAACAAAATAGTGAGCCAGCTGCTATCAAAGATACCGGCACATTTGTCCAGCTCGCATGAATTTATCAAACAACTCCAGAGCGCTAGGTTTGATTCGAGCGCAGTGATCGAGTCATTTGACGTGATCTCACTCTATACCAATGTGCAGAATGAGCAAGCCTTGCAGGCTCTATCGGAGATGTTGGATAAATACGGTGGTACTATGAATATGTTTGGACTGGGCAAAGCGCGAATCATGACCCTAGTCAGCGAATGTTTGAAGTGCAACACCTTTAGATGGTCTGGGACCTATTACTCCCAGATACTCGGCTTAGCTATGGGTCAAAGATTAGCGCCAGTGCTCGCCATTTGCTTTATGAGCAAAATTGAAGAACCGGTATTAGCTCGTATGCCGCTGATGTACTGCCGTTACATCGATGATTGCTGTATTGTCACCTCCACGCAGTCCGAAATGGACATGTGTTTCAACCTTTTCAATCAGCAATCGCAGTATATAAAGCTCACTCGAGAAGCACCAGATAACGGGTGGCTACCCTATCTCAACGCGCAAGTAAAGTTGTCCAAGGGCATTGTTAGCGTGAAATGGTTCCGTAAAGAAAGCTCCAAGAAATCCTTAAAAATATAAAATCCGCACATCCAGCATCCGTAAAGAGAGCTGTCATTGGAAACATGTTCAGAACAGCCATGCAGATGTGCTCTGGAGAGCGAGAACGTTGCGAGTCACGAGATTTAGCGTCACAGATTGCTTGCAGCAATGGGTACCATTCTGTACCACATAGTCAACATCTTAGAAATGGTAACAACGTTCATAACGATAATAAGCTTCCACTATGCCTTCCGTTTATCTCTGACAGCGTCAGTGCGGCTTTTCGAAAATGCATACAACGCGCAGAACTGCAAGATGATGTTGCTTTAGTGTCCATTCCGAACGACAACATCAAAAAAGCAGTTAGTTAGAAATAGATTGTATGATCGATACTGTATGTTGAAGCAATGCTGCGTAGTATGCCCGCACGGTAAGGTAGGCGATTGTGCTAAAGTGGGAGTGATTTATCAAATTGAATGTCTTAGCTGTAATGCACTCTACATTGGAGAGACAGGAAGACCATTAGGCACTCGCATAAACGAACACTTGACAGATAAAAGGCCTAAAACTCAGTTATCACCTCTGGGCAGGCATAGAATTGAATCGCATGGTGGAGATGACTTTGATATCAGATGTAAAATCTTGACTTACGAAAAGGAAACCTCGGCTAGGAAAGCGTTAGAAGCGTTCTGGATTTCAGTGAAGAATCCAGCTATGAACAACAAAAATGAGTGCCTGTCCATAACCTCCGACTTCCTTCCCTTCATATCATTATGCGATCTGTAGATGACATCCGATGGTCATCTATGGTATACTTCATTCTTCCGCCGTGACCATCATTTCCGGTGCGGAAACTCGCATATTGGTGATCTGTCGGTATGTTCATCTTCCGCCTTGACGTTTTTGCAATAGGGAAGTCAGGCGAAAGTCGAGAACTAGCAGGATTAGGAAGGGTGTTTGATGGCGTGGAGCTACAGATGACACTTTGAGCCATTTTCAGGCCTCTGAGGAAGACGAAGGCGTCGAAACGTTAGGCCTCGATTGGATTAATAAAGATCACCTAACAAACCTGTTTGGCACAGAATACTTTGTCAATAAGAATTCAATGTATCCAAGGTACAGACTTTCCTCTTGCTTTTCAAGGTGGTTCACTCACCTTTCTTTCTCGAAAGTGCACAGAACTTTTGAAGATACGGCGAGTCATATAGTCTGTCTACAGGAAACGAAATGGAGCGAGGCAATGTCACGCGACATTGAAGATAGTACTAGCTTCGTTACACGGGTGCTTCACGCACCAAATGTTGTATAGCTGTCTCAAAAACGCCAGAAAGCAGCAAGTTGAGCGCTTAAGCAATCGTCCGTTGAGCATAAATATAGATGCTGGGAAACAAGTCCTACTAGTAATCACACTTTATGCGCCATAATCGAATGCAAGGATGACGGTAGGACATTTTTGGCAGGAGCGCACATAGTTCATTTCATTAGGCGAAACACTCTATACCAGTCGCGAGGCACACTCTTGTCTTATCTTCTATTAACTTCAAGTTGGGCAGGAAACTTGGCGAATGCGCATCTCACCGACCAATCCGACTGATGAGCCACACTTAAATATTTTCGAGTAAATAATTGCAAGACCACTTCGAGACACCATGGGATTGTCACCGAACCATCACAAATTCGTGGGAAGAGTAGGTATGATCGGCTTCAAGATTTCTGTAGAAGCGGGTTGCGGACTTTCCTTAAATATCAGGACAAACTTGTTGAACCTCCAAATTACAGCATCGTTTTTCGTTCTCTTTAGCTAACAAAAACCGCCACGCTTTAAACTTCCCGACTCCGCGGATGGTGGTGGAGAAATACGGAAGCGGCGATAAGGTGCCTCAAGAGTTATTGTGGTGGGCTTTACGGAAATACAAAGTGCCAGAGGAGTACGTTCAGTGGATAAAGTTAGTTTACTACAACTCTTGAGATTACGTTCAAACAGCTGCAGAGCAGTAAGAGTTTCAAATCAAGGTTGAATTACACCAAGTTAAGTTCTCTTTCTTTTAGTTTTAAACACTGTGATAAGTAAACGCCGCGATGGAACCACTAGACGTGAACCTCCTTGGACACTTCTTTAAAACAATGCGTTAGCAAGACTAGAAGGGAGTCACAACGAGGTACAAGGCTGGAAGCTAAAGTTGTATGGCTTGAAGGCCAACACAAGAAAGACAGAACACTCGAAAGCGGGAAAACCAGTTCTGTATCATATGCAGCAATGATAAACAGCTAGAGAAGATTAACACGTAAGTACCTGGGCTGTCATATTTCAGTGGGAGGAGGGAGGAAAATCACGTTACATGGCCTTTGGTGAAGGCGCCAGGCAAAAGACTTAGGGCCGCATGTACTAACATTTCCGCTGGGGAGGGGATCGCAGCTTCAGAAGAAAGCTTCATACCCTGAAGCTCCGGATATCTGGATTTCACGCTGTCTACCTGTCCGTAAGCACTCCCACCATCTTTCGCTATGAACATATTAAGCAGAAACGAGAAGCTGTACAAGCCGCATTTCCCAGGTTTTTGTAGGATCCACTGGTGATCCCTGGGGGACGAACATCTATTCTTCAAAGTCATTTTTCTGTCTCCTAAGTTAACGAAAAACTTCCAAAGTTATACTGAACATCTAACACAACAGTGCTAAGCATGTTGCTGATGTAAACAAATGAATTTTTGAAAAATCGAATTTTTCGCCATACCCCAAATTTCGACCTGTGGATCATCGAAAATTTCATGACTTCAAAACATCATTTGTTCTTATCAGCAACATGCTTAGCACTGTTGGGTTAGATTATCTGCACAACTTTGGAAGTTTCTCGTTAACTCTGAAGAAAGAAAAATGACTTTAAAGAAAAGCGCCGCGGATCTTCAGGGATCATACAAAAGCTGGAAAATACGATTTGTACAGCTTCTCGCTCCTGTTCAACATGTTCATAGTGAAGGATAGTAGGAATACTCACGGATAGGTACACAACGTGAAATCCAAGTAACTGGAGTTTCGAAATATGAAGCTTTCTTTTAAGCTGCGATCCCCTCCCCGCGACCATGTTAGTGCATGCGGCCCTTAGAGAGAGGTCCAGGAATGGATGGACGGAGTCAAGGTCGATTTGCGAGGTTGGGAATATATGGAGATCTTGGCTCAAATAGGCAAACACTGAGACTCCTGTCATGGAAAGCAGATGCTTAAGCAAGACGCATGCGAGGACAAAAAAAGCTACTGCAACTTAGCGTTACCTACCTTTAGAATTTCTCTTGCTAAGTACATGGCGCGGCCAACAACAGTCCACTCCGCTAGAAATTGACGTTCGGTTCCAATGAAGAGGCTGAAATTGATTGTAGAATTATTTTTGAATTGCATTTGCTTTATTGCATAATTTAGAGGCTAAAATCTACGTTGAATATTGAATAGTGCATTGGTCACCGTAAAATGTTCAGCGATTCTGTATTTGCGAAGAGAAGCATTTTCTAGGATGAAGGTAGGCGCTGTAGTCATCCACAAAGGTGGAGTCTCTAGATACGCGTAGTTGATTGGCTGAGCGAAATTCCGAGGTTGATAATCTTCTAAAGAAGTATTAGTAACCTTGAGAGTTCGCTCAACCAATCAACTACGAGTATCCACCATGCCAAGGTTAAGAGAAGCCGAACCTGGACAAGTCTCTAAATAGTCAGGCAAATGAACCAACAGCAGTCGGACAGAGCAAAGTAGAGTGAAAATGTGTTTCTCATTTTTTATATAATTAAAAAAGTTTGAGAAATCATTTCGCATAACATTTTAGGCAGAAGCAGACTCAGCAGGAAATGGTCAGACTTAAGCCAGCCATAGCAAACTGCTGTATTATATCAACGGACTCTCTTGAAACGCTGATCACAAATATATGTTTGTTATCTGTCAAGCGACTATCTGGGAAGAGTTATGAGCATTTGAGTGCGATTTGTCAAGTGTTCTGTGGCGCATGTTCCATGAAATAAGTTTCAAAAATACTTATTTAGGTTTTTAGTGAATGTGTTTTTTCCTTGTAATTAATATAACCGTAGACACTGTGAATCCGCGCCATCAGGCCGCCTTTCAAAGAAATATATTCGTCGGAACTCAAAAACTTTTCTACGTTTGAACGCTCATAACTCCTCTCAGATAACTATTGGCAGATAAAAAACATAAATTTGAAATCAGCTTTCTAAGACGAATCTGAAGATGTACAGCTTGTTTGGAATGGCTGGGTTAAGTTCTGACCACTTCCTCGTCAGCTAGCTGTTTACCGCGGTAGGGTAAACTTGAAAAAAATGATTACTATTTGATCCATAGAAAGCTTTAATAGGTGGAGTTCAGGCAACTGCGGAAATCTTATTCTATGCGAACTTAGAGTCAAAGTATAAGAGATTTGAAAATTCGAAAACACATTCAGTCCATAAAATTTCTATAGCTCCAATTTGCTCAGGCATGTACTCTTCATATTAGACATGAAGTAAAAGTAGGTCAAAAATACGAAGTTCTTGAGTTTTGCGGTGTTGAGTGCGGTGTGCTGTCACAAAAACTAGCGTTTCTTAACCTCTAGCCATGGAGAATTCACGAAACTTGCACACACGCGTCGAATGTGAAGAAATGCCTGAGCAAGTTGTGTTTTCCTAGGATTTGTGTAAACGGAGTCAAGCTCTTTTTCAGATTTTCAGGTATTTAGAGCTTTTGAAAGTTGCTTCGAACTCCGCCTGAATAAATTGTTGCTGTTGGGACTTTATCTTGTACAGCTTTTTTTGCTCTATCCATGCGTTCGTCCTCGCGATATTTTATGATAGCAATTCAGTACTATCTTCATACAGCCTGGTATATTCCACATTGTTTCAAGATTGCCTCGAAGACGCCACAGTTAGGCGGCAGTTAGTTTAGAACCAGTTGAATTGCGTAAGTGATGGAGTGAGTGTCTTATGTGTACTACGTACACTCAGACTAGAAAATTCCTTCTGAAGCGACCCGAAACAAACTTTGCATGCTACACTTCGGGGCGAAGCGGGTGTCACAGGTTACTTTGCGTTATCAAGGGTTATCGATTTCATCGATTTCTCGTAAGATTTGAGCTTTGGAGCTAGGAGTTGGCACACAGGACACTAGCTGAGCTGTCTGTGAATAAAAAAACAATTACTTTTAGTGATTTCATCGATTCTTGTTGGGGCTAAGAATTGGCATACGTGGGCTAGGTGGGGGGGGGGGGGGGGAGAAGTGAGCATGCTAATTACAAGAACAATGAGCATTTGTAGAAATATCCATTAATTTTGGTTTTATCGCGCAAACTATGAGCTACGCGGCTGAGAGACGGCACGGAGGGGGGGGGGGGGGAGGGTGAACACGACGATTACGAAACCATGGAGGAAAGGGAGCATGCGTTCAGAAGTTGGCAGGAACAGGGCAATGTTATGTAAAAGTGGGCGGACAGCTCTAACTATGTAATGTTGACAGGGATCGAACGAAGCTGGAAATCCCAGCTAATTAAGACGTAAAATTGAATGCGCTTTGTATTACAGAATGCAGTTTCAGTTTGTGTTTTTCGTTCATTAAGTATCAACGTGGATGAGAAAGTGATGCAGACATTGTCTTTACTTTTTCTTCAGCATTAACTTCAATTTTTCTTTCCTCAGAAGAACTCACCGATAGTCCTTCTTTTTCCAAACACCTAGCTCAAGAGCGACATAAGGCTCGTCGACCACCATGACTATCCCTGTTTTGGAGCCTTTTATATTATTGGCAACTTGAGCCATGACTTCCAATTGCTGAAACCAAGTGCTGAGCAAGACGATTTTTTGATAAAAAAAACTTGTTGAAGCAATTCTGCCTATGTGTTAAACTGTCACTATAAAAGCAGTGTCTGATTATAATATATTTTCTTTATTTCTGTCAAACTTATATTTATTTCTGTCATACTTGTTTATGCAGAACTACTTTATGAATAGTCGGTATGTTGTTGTTCCACTTTTCTTCTGCTGAAGTGTTGGCGCTGTAAACGGTTGCACATAATAGTCTAACTGTACAGAGATTAAGATTTGCTGTTGACATAATATGTTGTTTTTATTTCCGGTTCATAGTTTCATATCTTTGAAACGCAGCTAACGAAACGTGAACGTAGTCCCGTTGCTTTCTTATCAGCTTCAAAATTTGAGGAATAAATGCTTCGAAGTTATCGTAAATCCATTGCATTGAACGATCTAGGAAATCATTACGTTATAACTCAGTGTAAAAGAACCTATTCTGAATTGGAACCGCCCTACTCCTTAAATTCAGCGTAAGCCCGAAATTTCGTCTTCCATGTTTTTATTGTTATCGGGCCTCTCCATGGTGCTGGTTTGGGGGTTCAATTTACCAAAAAAACTTCAGAATTGCCCCTTGTCATGTCAGAACACGTCTGGGGCAATCCGTAAATGGTTGGAGCGCGAAAAAAAGGGCGGAGCGCAAAGAGGATTTTATTCCTCATCTCCTTTCGTAAGCAACATTGATGGACCGGACCAACACGGTTGCTCTAATCTTAGGGCCTGCTAGTAGGATAAGTAGTAATCTGGGGTGAATAGATTGTGGGTGAACGCTGCCGCAATCTATATTCCCATGTGCAAGTGTCCAGAATGAACGTTTGTTTACCTTTGCCCATCCTTCCTCCCTTACAGTGCCCGACCTGTCAAGAATGAAGACGATCGATCTCTTTTCCTTGGATTCTGAACAACTCAAGCAGATAAAACCCTGAAAGAAAAATATACTTGATCTTGATTTCTGCCATCGCATGCACTTTGTATATTTTGGATTATGCTAACGTCTTGATGGTAGATTTAGGCATACCATCCTTTTCTTGAGAAAAGACGAATGGACCACACATTTTCATAAAATGAATGCGCTCTTTTCATTCATAATCTTGACTTTGTGTCATTGTTTGACTTTTCATAGATAAAGCATAAATTTTGAACAGCAATATAAAAGAAAGAAGTTTTTAGAGTTTTTTCTGCTTAGGCTTGCATTTTTTCATGACTGAGAAATTTATGAGAAAAGAGACCAAAGATACTTTGCAGATGATATAAACTCGCCTAAAACAGCTGCAAGAAGAGACAATGCAAGATAAATGGAGAGTCATAAATGCAGGAAAACGATGCAAGTTTTTGTAAGGTACCAGGTTGTCCAAGTTCAACTGTTGGTTAATTTCGGCGTGTCGTAGATGCTTGCTTAGCTGGACCGGGATTGATATACCCTTCATTCGACTAATGTTTCGGCGGTATCGCCTTCTTTAAAGTCCTTTTAGACTCTGTCAAGCTAAGCAAGCCACAGCAAGCAAAAAATTACATGCATAACATCAAATTTTCCTGAAGCTAATGTAATCTATAAAAAACAGAATTGAAATGTAGCCGAAAGATCAAAAGCCAGGATAGCTAGGTCATAGCGGCAGAATCGCACTTTGAGCTTTAAGGATAGTCTTCTATTAACAGTTTGGTGGACCAGCGTATCATTCCTTCCATGGTTGCTGCTAACCTTGGTCTGCCCCTTCCACCTGCGACACGTAAGGCTAACATGTTAGCAACAGGCAGCAACATGTTTGCCACATGCAGCAACATGTTGCAGAACTTTTGGCTATCAGCTTCAGCGCCAACATGTTGCTTCATGTTGCCAACATAGGTCAATGCCGTAGGTCAGAGACGCAGACCAAGAGCAGCAGCAATTGTGGGACGATACGATGCGAACATGGCATATGCTAAAACGTACTGCGTACGCTGGTACACTCTTCTAATGCAAGCACCGGCACACTGATATGGTTATTGTAACCCAACTACCTTTTAGGAGTACATACGGAACAGTCCATATCTATATTGTGCGAGGTTGACAGCATGTCTAGTGGATCGGCCACGCCATAAACTACGGCTACGCCGCCGCCGCCAACTCTGAGTATGCACACTTTGCACAATCAAAAAAGTAGGTCCTAAAACAACACTGCTTCTCAGTCTCAGAAATTTGCATTGCATGCATCACGTCCATGTTGAAACAGTTCGTAAAAGTCTTTTTCATCAATCGATTCCCATGTGGCATTTAAAAAAACGCAACGAGTAAAACTTTTAAGCTTGGCAATCAAGCTGCTATTTAGGCCCGTATGCACGTACGTCCCCGCGGGAAGGGGATGTGCGTTTAACCATTGAAATGATCCCCGCTGGGGCCCTCACTCGAACCCCCGTATGCAGAAAGACAATACCGAAGAGGGGATCCCCTGGGAGTAGGGGAGGGGAGCCCTCTTATGCAGAAGGGGAGATCGAGCGGGGAATTCATTTTGCTTCCGCCTTTTTTTGCAGTAATTATTCCTTTTTTCTTATCTTTTGATAGCAACTCGTCTTCAATGTGTCTCGGCAATATTTAGTCGTTGCGGAATGTCCTCTGCCGTGATTGCGGTCGGAGCACTAAAGAAATATTAGGTTAGTCCGAAAGTTCTGTCCCACCATTTTCAAAAAATCATAACTTCCTCCTATCATGATGTTTCTGCATAGCTAAGACCTTTTTGGAGAAAGCAATTCATACACTTTTTAGAACTACCTTGGATGCTATCTACAAAGCTCTGAATGCAGAAATAAAATTGAAAAAAGGAAACCACTTCAAGTTCGGAATTTTTAAGCAGGCCCGTTAAAAAATCCAAAACCGTGCCATAAAATTAAAACAACCATTATCCTAGGTTTTCTGGTCTTCTCTTTCTATATGAGCAAAACTCGCGCTAATCGAGCCCTTCTTAGAAAGGTTTTGATTTTTGAGAAAAAATGCCAAAAAATCAGTTCCTCAAGAAAAATGATTTTTTGACATTTTTTTTAAAAAATCATAACTTCCAAAGTAGCAGCTCGATAAGCACGAACTTTGACCAGCTGGAAAGAGAAGATCAGAAAACCTAGGTTACTGGCTGTTTTGGATTTTATGGCACAATTTGCATTTTTTAACAGGCTTGCTTAAAAATTCCAAACTTGAAGTGATTTCATTTTTCCAATTTTATCTCTGCAATCAGAGCTTGTTAGATAGCAGCCAAGGAAGTTTTAAAAAGTGCATGAGTTGCTCTTTCCAAAAAGATTTTAGCCATGCAGAAACATCACGATAGGAGGAAGTTATGATTTTTTGAAAATGGTGGGACAGAACTTTCGGACCAACCTAATATTTTCTACATCCATTATATTCCTGCTGTTTTCATGGATGCTGCTCATTCTCGCTCATGCTGCCCATTTCAGCGTAAAGGTGTTCAATAATAGAAGTCAAGATGTATCTGCAGTGAATGAGTAGAAGACGTTATGCTGCCGAAAAAGGGGGGGGGGCGCTGCGGACATTCAAACCAGCATTTCTACACATAACTGAAGCTTCAAATCGTGCCAACTCTCCATAAACGCTGTAGCTATTAGCTACATATCGTCGTTTACCACAGGGAAATGATCCCCAGCGGCCATCCCTGCTATGCACGAGGGGAACGATGGGGAGGGGATCACTCCCCCGAGGATCTTTACTCAGAAACACGCGAGTCTGCTAATTTTCATTTTATTCAAAGCAGTTTTACGTTAGGATAACAAGATAAAGAGAATTTATCATATAATGTGATAGTCACAATATGCTGTACCAGCCTCAGTGGATAAAACTATCATGTTAAATAGGAAATGCGCAACTCTCGTGAATGGTCACAAACTTTTACAGATATTAGTTAGAAACTGCGATATATGTTCAGATTTCTTTACGAGAAGCGAATATGCAAGATAGAGTTAGAACTGCAAGCTACAGGTCGCTGAGAGAGGAACTTGGCTCCCGTAGAAAATTTTTCAACAGTTTGAACAAAATGCTTTGTAATAATTGACTGAAATCAGAACTTCTCCGGCTTGACCTACACCATCGAACCCCTACTCCGTTGTAGGGGATGTCGGTCCCCTCCCCCGCGTTGTTGAGTTAAATTCGCGCATACGGGGTTCGAGTGGGGGAGGGGAAGGAATCCCCTCCCCCATTCGAACCCCGTATGCACTGAGGTTCGCTCGATCAGTACCTCTGTAACCATTCACACCATCCCCGCTTAGGTGCAGGGGAGGGGATCGCTTCCCTCCCCTCTGTCATGGCGGGGTTCGGCGGAGGGGATCGTTCCCCTGGGGATCCAACTCCCTCCCCTCCCTAGCGGGGACGTACGTGCATACGGGCCTTAGACACTGTCCACAAGCAAAAATTGTTCTGTATAAGCTTTCTAGTCCTGCTCTAATATTTCTAAAAACGATTATAAGCTGTGGGAAAACGTTTCACAGTTCTAAGAAACAAATTGGACCATGCTCTATCTTCCTCAAAAATTAGCTCGGGTATATACACTTTCTTTCAGGGAACTGCTTAGATATCGTATGAAATGCATGACAAAGTAAACGGTGATTGTGATAGCTCTAGAAGCTGAAACATGAATCACCATTGCTTATATAGCTGCGCATTTGTCTTTTACATGATCAGAAAAACTCACAGGAGGGTAGTGGCCATACTTCTCAGGATTTACTATTGTGCCATCAGAATCTGGTTGAATACATTCACATCGCTTCTTCTTTTTATTGTATCTAGCAGCTCTATTGCATGATTCTCCCCTTTTAAGATTTCTTTTGTGTGGCTCTGCACCTGCAATGACGTCAATTCCAAAATGAAGATGAAGGACGGCACCCATTTATAGTGTGATTATTCAGTGTGATAGAACAGTTCATAATTAGAAGATTGTACCGAACTCTAAACATTCTGTGCTACGATTCTAACGTGGAGTAATATTGCTACGTTTTCAACAAGCTAGACTTCTATTGGCACAGATATTTCAGGCGGTAAAAGTTTGTTGCTTGAACACTTCCTCGAATAAATAAGCGAGTGCGTGACTATATGACTCTATGCAAGATGCTGCCATATTTTCTTTCCTTGTAGAATCATATTTAACACGTTTCGAATCCGGTGCTGCACATGGGAAGCACGCTGATTTGAAGGATCTTTTTGACGCTTATATGAGGTTTTCTTGTAGTTTAAAGTTATCAAGCTAAAGAACTTGGCTCCTACTTTTCAAATGATTCTATAGAGCTGTGCTGTCGGTATTTGTTTAGGAGATATGAGGACAAATCAAACAACGGTTACAACAAGTGCGGCAATGCGAACGACGCAACTTCCCTTTACTTTGATTCTAAAGAGAAAAATCTTAGTTGTGTTAATGATGTGTACCGTATGCAACATAGATACTTTCGGATACTGTTACTGATTAGATTTCGTCTTCTATCCGCCTAGAAATAGGAGTCCTCTTCAAGTGACAAATTTCAGCCACTTCGAATTCATTCAGGACTTCGGATATGGAGCTTATCTGACATGCTGTTTACATATATAGCGCACGGTCTGCGATATAGGTCCCTTCGTCGGCTAACGGCTGGAAGCACACTCTTTCTGATCGCGATTTGAAAAGGGAAGCTTGTTTAGTCGAAGTGCCCTTTTTAAATGGGATGTACACCATATTGAAGGGCATAAAACGCTGACTCCAAATCTGCCTTCTTTATCTGCAGAGCGTTCATGTACGAGAAGTTATGGGCGTTTTGTAAAGGCAAAAATTGAACGTGCATTTTAGATCAAATGAGTTGCTGAAATCTTACTACCCTCAATTAATGCAATCAAGTGTGATATATTTTTAATTGAGAGTGTTTCTAAAATGAAGTGCTCTGATGACTACCACTGTTCCATTAAAGAGCTAGAAAAAGCATTACGGCTAGTTTTGTCCGCCCCAATAAGGGCTCATAACTCCTCGCCCAGAAACGCTCTGCAGATAAGGAAGGCTAATTTGGAATCAGCGATTTATGCCCTTATGCTATACGTCCCATCTAAAAAGGCTACTTTGACCAAGCATACATTCCTTGTAAAATGATCCTTGGCTAGAATTGCTTCCAAATAATCTCGTTCATTACCTTTTGTCAAATTGCATCCACTTCGCTGTCGTCTCGTGTAACACTACTAGAAGCATACAGCGCGTCCCAAAAGGTATGCAACATATTGTTTGATCATTGATATCTCTTCTTTCAAAAAGCCTTTTGCCAGCCTTAGGCATCATTCTGTGGGCTGACTTCAACTGTAGTTACTGTATGTAAAGCAGTCATTATCGCTTTTTTATTACTTTTTATTACTGCAGGACAACGTAGGAGTTCCAACATAGAGACCATAAATTGTGAAACTCTGATGAAAAGTTTCCGTAGTAATCTAGGTAATGGTGTCGTGTTCTTCAGAAACGGTGAGAAAACACCATTACAGCATACCTAGCATGGCTCAAAAAGAAACATTACGGTTAGGTGCAAACTTCAAGATAGAAGTCAGCGACTTGATTACACTAGTATAAGAGTTTTTGCTCGGTATCTCACCTCTATTTTTTTTCAATGCAAACCTCTAGTAACGAAAAGTAACCAGTGATTCCAACTATCCTGTAAAGCACTAAAGCACTGTTGAAGCAGCTCAACAAAATGGTAGCTAATGGTTGGCAAAAGACTTGGGAAAAAGAAATTTATCGATTATTTGTGCACTTTTGGAACACTGGTGTAAAAAGATATTCATATCCAATATAGCGAGATTAGTATCTCGATGGTGTGCCGAAATGATTCTCAGTTGATTCGTATGTCTTACATATTCATTCCTGTCATACTAGGACTGACAATGATCGTTCAGTCAACAATGTGCATATTAGGATGGGACTAATATTCAAACCCCTTCCAGCAGCGCAGAAACATTCTACTTTACAATCAAAGAAGTCACTAGATGGTGCAAAACTATCAGTGTTTCGCAGAAATTAGTTATCAAATTAGTTTTTGATGCTTCCACATCACTACGGCATCGTCTCTGCAAGCAATCTGCTTGCCTCTTGAGAGATTGAATGGCCCGCCTCAGAAAGAAGATTGGGGCCTTCAATCTCCGATACACTGCACTAACAGAGCTTATATCACTTGCTGTGTTGCACGGAGCGACAATCAAAGCGAATGTTTGAAAACCTTGTTCTTAAATGAACAGGAATTTACAGGGTCTGATAACAAAAATTCACCTGACATGCATATGATGGGTCGGCGTGCAAATGCTGGAATGTCCATGTAACCTGATTCATGCATGGCTGCTGTGATGCGTGGCAAATCGGCGCACATGTTGTCCGGATAAGAAGACCTCCACTCTGCGCTGGGAACTTCCTGAACTTTTATGTTATAAAAATGGCGTGATAAAGCAACTTAGCAGATCAACAAGGCTGTCAAATTCGAAACATTCTTCGTTTATTTTTTTGAATGCGCTTATTCTTCTGACCACTCTTCGACATGATTCAACTTGTGGTATGATTGACAGTATCGTTGTTGCTTGTATATACTCAGCTCTCAAAAACTAGCTTGCTTCCGAGCTTTTTGAGTGTGAAGTATGCTACTGGCGTCCCACTTGGCTCGATGCATGTACATAGGGGACGGGATGACATTGCATGCAACGCGAAAGATTTGCAGGCCTCTCCTTTCTCTTCTTTATCCTTCGTCACCTTTGTTATTTGTAAAATCGAGGAGCTTCTACTCAATAGATTTTATCACAAACTTGAAGAATTTTTTCGGAGTTTACGCTATTTTACCGATCCTGTCATAAGGTAGCAAATTATCTCAATACTCCAAAGATTGTGAAATAATTCGGCGCATTGCGAAATGTAAGCAAAGGCTATATACCATTTGATTCAACTGGCTTGGCATCAGCAAAGGCGGGCTTCGTGACCTGATTAAGGCTAGGTAATGATCAGAGAGCACTCGCGCGAGAGAGACGCAGGTGCGTCGCGGGCGCGAGCGGCCTCAATTAGATTAAAAAACTTCGACCTAATGGTGCCAAGCCAGTTGAAAATCAAAGGTTATATACTAAGCTGTTTCAAAAATTCTGTCCGATTTTCAGTTGCCTTGCTTTAACGCAGTTACTTTCTTAGAATTTTGCCCTTGTCGCAGTATTATGGGTACTAAATAGAAGAATTTTTCTCGCTCTTTCCAGTGCTTTTTAAATCTCGACGAAATAGCGTTTCAGTGGAAAATCTTTCAAGCCCTGAAGTTAAGGTATCATGCAATCATGCTCAAAAGAAAGTTTCTATAGCGAGAATTTCGGCAGTGCTTGTAAAGTTACCTACAGTCTGCCCCAATCGGGATCAGGCCGAACCGTCGGCTGAATTTGCGCGCTAGCAGCGCTAGGGGTTTGCGCTGCATACGCGCGCTTTCGCAGAGAGCGAAGAGATTGAGGAGAGAGCAGACTAGCTAGACGCAGAAGTGGCGCGAAACCCTCGCGACGCGCACTCCCGCCAGGCCAATTTTGGCCTGGTTAGGATTGGGGCAGACTGTATTTAATCTTATATATAAAGCTTGAGGTGTGTTTGTGTGTATGTCTGTCTGTATGTATGTCTGTACGTGTGTACGTATGTTCCGAATAGAAAATTTTATTTCTGAACCGATCCGGATCAAACTTTGCACGCATACACTTGGAGGCCGGGCGGGTGTCTTGTGTACTTGGGACCGAATCGAATGATTATCTGATCATTCGAATAAAACATTCGAATGCGAATGATTCGAAAAGTCGAATATTTGAAAATCTGAGATTTCGAATATAATTCGAAGGTCGAATATCCAAAATTTTCAATTTTCGAATATATTCGAAATCCGAATATTCGAATAGAAGAAAACTTTCAAATGTCATTCGAAAGTCGAAAATTCAAAAATTTTAAAATTTGAATATTATTAAAAAGTCGAATATTCGATGTTCATCGAATATTCGATTATTCGATGTTCATCGAATACTCGATTATTCGATGTACATCGAATATTCGAAAATTCGATATCCATAGCATATATAGAGTTTTTCAATGATTTTTGCCAAATTTTGGAATGTCATTCGGTAGAGCTCCCTTCGGCTACATCTGCAAGAAAAACTTGGATCTCACTTAGTTTTCTTAGCTCTTACTGCGGGATTACGGTAAAAACCTGTAGCACGTAGAGCCACTATGGAATCAGCCGCTTGAAAGAACTTCCTAAAAGTCTAAAAATTTGTTTAACAGCGTTTCTACGTAAGCTGATTTCACTACACAACTTTTCACGAAATCTTCGAGCTTTTCTGATGTGCATTCACATCTTGCGAAACATTGAAAATATGTGTTACGCCGTAATTGACATAACTTACAAAGCATTAGGGCTGGATGCAAATTTTGCATTCTCAGTATTTTTGAATAGCCTAATGTATGCGCTTTTGGTTTTTTGATTTTCTCGCAAGTAATGCCCCCCCCCCCACTTCAATTATTAATGCTCACTGATAGATACTTTGAGCACCAGCGCATTTTTATCTTGCCACTAGCTGGCTTATCCGGTTTTTTGCAAATTATGGTGGCTAAATTTCCGCCCGTCCCTGTCAAAACACTATAATGAAGCTCTCACCCGTATCCCTGTACAACCTTTCCTTGTGCCCACGTCTACATGCCATTTCCCCATTCCCGCTGTTTTAGTATTCGGCATGCTCGATTACCCCCCCCCCCCGGTGCCAACTCCCAGCCCCGTAGTTCAAACTTTGCAAAAAAATCGATAAAATTGATAAGAGTAATGGATAATTCTAAAAACTAATATTGCATTCGTAATCAGCATGCTCGATTACCCCCCTTTGCCAAATCCCAGCCCCGTAGGTGAACTCTGCAAAAAATCGATAAAAATCGATATCGATCGATAACGAAAAAGTAGCCTACGACACCCGCCCCACCCCGAAGTGTATGTGTGCCAAGTTAGGTTCTGATCGGTTCAGAAATGGGATTTTCTACATATGGAACATACGTACATACACACATACAGACAGACATACAGACAGACATACAAACAGACATTCAGCTTTATATATAAGAATATACTTTTGCGGAATACTGTATGTCAATCCGCAACTCTCTATGACAATACATGAACTGCGAAGATCGAAAAATCTTTTTTAGGTTTTTAAGCCTCTTTAAATTACCACTAAACCGCTTTTTCATCGTAAATTGTTACATAAAAAAGTGTCTATTTTTACTTACATGAAACAAATTATTTTCAAATGTTTTGGTCTCTCATAGGCAGTCTGGCTGGCATAAATTGAACTAATAGTATTCGAAAATCGAACGATATTCGAAAATGGAATAATACAGGGTGTCCCAAGAAAATGTGAACACTGCTTGATTGTTAATAACTCTCTTGCTTTCATGTCTTTTGCCGAGCTTAAGGCACTATTCTACAGAGCGAGGTTTAACTTAGATTTACAGTATGGAGCGAGTCGTCGATCGCTCTTCATTACTGTAGGACTACGGTAGAAACTTCGACAAGGATTTTAGGCCATTGGAGGCCATATTCTCCTCGAAACAAAACCAAACAAGCCAAAAACTTTTATACTATGGTAATGGAAGCCGCTAATTTCGAATATGAAATTTCCACTTTACTGTGTTGCTTCTTTCCAAGGTTATCCCAGGTAAATCGTAATAGCTTAATTTCCACCATTTGTCAGAAAGGTGATTGCACCGTCAAAGAAGCTAAAAACACTTTTAAAAAGTTGTGTAATGGAATCAGCGTGCGCGAAAACCCTAGTACACGATTTTTCAGATTTTTTGAATAAAATTTTGCCAAATGGCATAATTCACAATAGATCCACATGCTAGAAGTTCATACCGTAATCCCACAGTAACGAACACCGACCGGTGATTCGTTCCATAGTACAGATCTAAGTTGAACATCGCTCTACAGAATGGTGCCTCAAGCTCGGCGAAAGACTTAAAAGCAACGGAGTTATTAACGATCAAACAGTGTTCACATTTTTTGGGACACCCTGTATTTGAGAACCAAATTAATATTCGAAATTCGAATGACGGATCATATTCGATATTCGAATATTATTCGATTCGAAGACTTCCATTTACGAACAATATTCGATAGTCGAGTATTCGAAATTTTCGATTTTCGAATAATATTTGTTAGTTGAATATTCGAAATTTTCAGTTTTCGAATATATTCGACCAGTGCTTCACCTCTGCTTCGCAGAGGTTCGCACTGGCATCGTGAACCGTGGTAAACTCACTTTCTGAGAGCTTGTCTCTCAAATCATTGTTCGGTTTATTGCAACGTGAGCTGTAGTTAAAAATGAACCATACTCGCTATCTTAACCTCACATGATGTTTAGTATCGTAAATCATTCCTCACTGTAATTTCGTAACGGACAAACTCCACACAACTTCAGATTAAGCCGCTTATTATAAGTCATGATGATATTCGAATATTCGAAAAAAAAATTTCGGATTTCCCCAAGTATAGCGTCTAGGCTACTCTTCGTCACCGACGATATCGATTTTATAGATTTTTATCGATTTTTTGCAAGATTCGACCTACGGGGCTGGGAGTTGACACAAAGGGGTAATCGAGCATGCTGATTACGAATGCAATATTAGTTTTTGACATTTTTCATTAGCTTTATCATTTTATCGATTTTTTTGCAAAGTTTGAGCTATGGGGCTGGGAGTTGGCACAGGGGGGGGGGGGTAGTCGAGCATGCTGATTGCGATCACAATGTATGTTCTTGAAATTATTCATTACTTTTTTGACCTTATCGATTTTTTTTGTAAATTTTGAGCTACGTGGCTGGGAATTCGCACAGGGATAACTGAGCATGTTGATAACTAACACAGCGGGAATAGAGCGTTGAAGTTGGCATGTAGAAGTAGGCACAGGGAAAGGTTTACAGAAATAGCGATGGAAGCTTTATCATAGTGATTTAACGGGGCCAGGCGGAGCCAGGTAAGAGCTAGTACTTTATAATAATTGAGGGTTTAATGGACTAGCTTATGCACACTTTTTCTCCTATATAAATCTAAATTTTCGAATTTTCCTTCCAAAAATTGAAGATAAGCCACTTATTCAACAAGCGACACCAATCTACGCGTAGCGAAAAGATGTGTTCTGCATATGATAGAATAAAGCGAGAGCAAGCAGGGACCACCACACAATTAGATTTTTCATTTGCGACAGCAAAAAAAATCGAACATTGAAGAGTCGGCATGCATGCGCGGAGGATGAGGAGAGGGATTCAAATAATAGCTTTTTTACTTGCTCGTGAAAACTTTTTGGCAGCAAAGACAACTTGTTTCTTTAGCCGTTGTATAATCTCTGAAGTATGGGCTACTTGTGTA